CTCTTTTTCTATTATTTTGATGGATCTGAAAAATTGTAGAAGCGATGGACGCTTTGAACTCAAGTAGAGATATCTTTGGATTCTTCGCTTGTCGGTAAAGTAACCATGCGTTTATTATGGCTACATTCAAAAAGTGAAATGCAATANCATCGAGCATACGGTTGAAGATACCAACACAATTACATGTTTCTAGTGATGAATAATTAGCTAACAAGTTCTCGAAACACTTACCTATTTTTATTTCTCCAAAACTCAATTATGTTGCTGACGAAATGAAGAGGTAAATTGGTGAATATAACCTCAAAACATGCAGGAACCCTCCTAGCCGGCAACAGGTAGTATGAAGCGAATCTGACTCATATTGCATATGCGTAATAAGGAAGAAAGGTAAACGGCCACAACTGTTGCCTCCGGGCACATTTGAACCAATAATATTATGATGTAAATCGACTATGAACCAAATGTACACATATATGCTTATATCCCTCAAGAGGTTAAGTGAAATTTCTCATCCAATATATTTTTTATGAAGTATGACTGTCAGAAAAATTATATACCTACTCAATGTGATACTAGATCAATAGTATGCCAGAAATGAACGGAACAGATGAAGACAGTGAATAAATAAATATAATGCCTTTTAACTTTGAATAGCTGGTAAGGTACTGACCTTTAAATTATCTTTACCGATACAATATAGACATATATGCTGCATTACAGAACTAATATATTATTTTTGAATAATTTTCATTTATAATTAGTTTTTTTATAGCAAGTGTGAAAACCCATTTAGTTACAACTTCAAAACTAATAAACTTCCATGATAATGATAAACCAATTCAAACTTGCCACCCGAATTACCAACCAAAGTCTCACTTCTCTCAAAGGACTTCAACCTCAATGCTTAAAAGCAACCAATCAAAGAAAATCATATATCTGATCACATTTTCCAAATATATCAGTTTGAAGTCCATCATAAAAGAACAAAACTGTGGAGGTTATATTCAAACATATGAGATCACTCGATAATGGACTTAAACCCACCTTATCTGGATCCTTTTTTTTCGAAACCCTCACTTCATCTGAAGTTTTCGATGCTATAAATGAGCTAAAAAACTCCAATTGCCTTGATGTGTACAACCTTAATAGTAAGATCATAAAGGAAACATGCACATATTTGATGGAACCTCTCACGTTTATTTACAATTCTTTTATTAGCGAAGAATGTTTCCCAGACAAATTCAAAATCAGTAAAGTCATTCGTTTTCAAAAAAGGTGATAATAATTTTAGTGAAAACTACCGTCCCATTTCCATCGTTCCCATTTATGTAAAAATTTTCGAGATAATCCTAAAAAAAAGGTTATACCTCTATTTTGAAAGAAACAATCTTCTGAACACTAACCAATACGGTTTCCGAAAGTCCTGCTCGACTATTCAAGCAGTAGCTCAGGTTGTGAAGGATATAGTTGATGGTTTTGAAAAGGGTCACAGTGCTGTGACACTTTGTGATTTGAGTGAAGCATTCGACTGCGTTTCTCATACAAATTTGTTACATAAACTGGAAGAATATGGATTCAGAGGGGTAGCACATTCACTTTTTTCATCGTATTTAATGAAAAGGCAATAACAGAACATCTGATCTACAGCCGATTGAGCTCGAAGTTCCTCAAGGGTCTGTGCTCTCTTCTATGAATTATTACCTTACGCATGTGTGATTTATGCAGATGACACATCGATCCTGTTCTCTGACAACAACTGTCAGAATCTGCTCGCAACCATGGAACTTGCAGAAAGACAAGCTGAATCGTGGTTCAATTCAAACCTACTGAAACTTAATAAAGAAAAAACACAAAAAATAATTTTCTCGACTAATAATAATATTTCTGTGGGCAAAACTGTCAATTTACTGGGAATCACTCTTGACGATGCTATGACTCTCATTACCAAAGAAAAAACCCTTTTCTTTTCCCTTTCCTTTTTTTTCCCTATCAACGTTATTCAAGGTCGAATTATTCTGATTGTCTTTAGGCACAAAAAAACTGAACTGAATTGTTTTGAATGTTATACAGGGTGGATGCTGTGCATAAATATATGATTTCAATACATTACTTTTCTGTTATCTTATAAATCCGCTCTTGCATTTTGGGAACCGTAACATCTCTCTGAAATTGTATGTACATTTTATTCAATTATTTTTCTGTATATTTTATTTGATAATATTTTTTCTTTATAATTTACTGTTACTGTTTTATGTTCAGTTATGATGTTCATTTACATACTGTACCACCGACTTGCTACTAATGTACCTGTATATACCGTAGTGAAATAAATATCTATCTATCTATGTCAGAGTATAATCTAATGATTTTTTAAATATATTAGAGGGAGAAACAAGGGAAGACACCAAATTATGATAAAGTGAATCTATGTGATAATTATGAAACTATCAGACCACACCAAAATAATTAATATTTACAGTTAACATTATATGAATTTCAGATGTCCAAAACCAGAGCCTGATAAATTGAAATCAGGTGTTCATTAAACACACTTTTGGGATAGGTGTCATATAAGAAAAATAAAAGTTTGTCAAGGAAACATAGGCTCACTTCTAGCTCATATATGCACATTTTTTTGTCAAGACCGTAACCATTGGCTCTAAATGTCTCTAAATATACATAACTTTTTAAAATAAAGGGTCTAGATAGAGAGGATATAGGAAGTTCCATATAATGGCATATAATGAACTTCTAGAAGAATTTTTGAATTACCACAACATATTGTTTACCAAAACGGATTTAGAAGATATAAATCAACAAATTCTGCAATATCTGATTTCAATACAACCATCTATAACAGCAGTAATTAGCGATGACATATTCCCTTACGAAGATGCTAGGGATTGACAGAAGATTCACTCCACGAATATAAAAGGTGAACGATGTTCCCCAAGGCAGTTTTGTAAAAGCCAAGCTTTGACATCGACCGTCAAAAAAGATTCGTTCTTTGTCTTTCATTGCAGGTATCACAAGAAAAGTTCCCGCGAATTTCTACCTGAAATCATTCATGCGTATCACAAAGTGAAAGTGTATCCTGCTACACTCAGTAATCAGTTTTCTTCACCTCCTGAAGCCGCTAAGTTGGTTGGGGAAAGGCGCGTCGATAAGACTTTTGCAGTTCTGATATTTGGGAAAAGTGCTTGTTTTGGAATACAGTTATTGTTATGTTAAAAACAATCAGATGTTTGGCAGAAGTGCAATTCAAAACCTCATATATACAACATATATACATATATATGTTGAAGAAGAATATAATTATAAATTGAAAGGTATATTTTTAGGAGAGATCAATTTTTGGGTCAGAAAGGTTTTCGCTCTCTACTTCTCCATGTTTGGGGAAGTAGAATAATTTTTTCAGATCGAGAATATCAATGAGTGTTTTTGAAATATTCGCCAAAAACTAGAATTGTTGAATTTCGTTTTTTGGCTATACCGCCTTCATTTCGAATGATATAAAAAAAGGCAGACGAACTTTAAATACTCTTTCATCTACTATTACCAGCTTGATGATTTTTGAACACAAAATATTGGATGTTTTGGAAAGTAAAGGGCAAATGGATACAGTGTATACGGATTTTTCAAAAGCTTTTGATCAAGTAGACCACAATATCTTATTGAAAAAATTGAAGATATTTGGATTTTCTGACTCAGCTGTAACATGGATCAGAAGTTTCTTATGTAATCGAACCCAACAAGTTAAAGTTGGAGGCGTTACATCGGTTATAATTCAGGTGCCATCAGGGGTACCTCAGGGTTCTCACTGCGCTCCTATGTTATTCAATATCTTTATTAACAACATTGTTGAATGTTTCCATCATACTGATTTTTTGATGTTCGCAGATGATCTCAAAGTTTTCATGCCAATAAGATCACTATATGATTCAACACTAATGCAAGATGAACTAGATAGATTGGTTACAAGGTGCTCCGAGAATAATTTACAGTTGAATATCGCAAAATGCTGTTTTATAAGTTTTTACAAAAGAAATACAAAACTTGATACTTCTTATGTAATTAATGGCCATGGATTATTTTATGTTTCGTCTGTGAAGGATCTGGTTGTTTTTTTTGATGAACAACTTCAATTTTTAGACCACTTGAACTATATTGTGGTAAAGGCGGCAAAATGTCTTGGATTTATTCTACGACATAGTAAACATCTGTCCCTTCAAGTCTTAAGGATAGTTTACTTGTCTCTGGTAGTATCAATATTAGATTATGGCTCAATGATATGGTCTCCATTTTATAATAGAGAGAGAGAGAGAGAAAGGGAGAAACAGTGATAGATTACGCCAGACATAGTTACATTTAGCATTGCCTATGATTTTTATGTATTCCATGTAAATAGGAAGGAACAGAATTGAAAAAAATGTTTTTTTCTCTTTACAAGAAATTTCAAATTGTTGATGCTAGGCTTGTATGAATTTTGATTTTGTTCATGTGTAGACTGAATTAAAATTATGTACTTACACTTTTTATTGTTGTCTATGTGACGAATGAAATTCAACATGATGCATATGCAACTAAGATTAACAAACTGGTTATTGTGCACTTCGACATATTGTGTTTCCTTCACATTATAATAAAGTGTACCCATTGAGAAGTGAATGAACTGCTTATAATGTGTCCCATAAGTAAAGTTTTGTTTGTCTACCCTCTCCTGATGGAGTAGGCAATCAACACTGTCAGCGTCACCAGAAAATCTCTAAATAACATGTAATTCTCAGTAAATTCTGCTTCTGAAGAATCACCCAATGTATTATAGAATTCACTACATACAGAATTGAGCTGATGAGAATTCACAACAAACTTACAAAGGTATTACAACTGTTTCTCATTTCAACAATGTCGATTTCATAATGTTATTAAAACTCTTCAAATTTTTCTTCACTATTGTAGGGATTGAAATTTTTCGATCATCTTTAGTTCTCTGAATTTACCTTTATTTGCCCTAGATATGTCCTGGCTATCCAGCACAGTATCTTCATCATCAGTAGTTCGTCTTCGATCATCTCTGCGATTCTCCCTGCGCCCTCTTGCTGTAGGACCTCCATAATATCGTGGTGGTAAATCATGAATTCTTTCATTGGTTGTATCTGGAGTCTGATGTCGAAAACCTGAATCAACATGCATCTATTATTCACTCGTTTTCAAAAAATTAAACAATAAATGGTTTAATAAAGCGAGATTTTTTTAAACATGTGGAGAGTTGTTTGCCAAACGTTCTTATGAGGCTTTTATAAATTTAGATACTAGTCACTACTGAAAAATATGATGTTAGAATTCTACTTGGTTTGCCAGAAAAATAGCGTGAGAGCACTCCAACGTTCCAGCAATTCCTTCCCCGATCGTGATTTACCTAATCGGCGTTTTTATGCTGTTTCGTCGTCGATTCAGGAACAATGAAAACGTTTTTGAGAAGAGAACTAAAAAATTGACGTTTTAGCCCACTTTGAGGTAAACGATTTCTGAAAAAAACATAAGGTTTCTCCTCATAAGTTAAGACCGTGCAAACACTAGAACCTGGTGATCCTGAGAGATGATTGGGGTTTTGTCGGAGTTTATGTATAAATGCAGACAAGATCCAAACTTCAATAGAAATATTATATGGAGCGATAAGGCTAATTTTTCAAATTGTGGGATGTTTAATAGAAATAATTTTTATTATTGGAGTAGATATAATCCATTTTTAGTCCATCCCCACAATCCGCAAAGACGATTTAGTATTAATGTTTGGTGTGGTCTATTTAGAGGCAGAATTATTGGTTTTTCGATGATCTTGATCTGGAGGCTCGTCAGATGATGGATGGAGCACCAGCACAAATTTCAGTGGCGTAAAAAGGAAGTTGCAAGACTGTTTTGAAAACCGATGGATTGCTACAAATGGTCCTGTTAAGAGGCCTCCTCGTTCACCAGACATGACGCTTCTAGATTTCCATTTTTGGGAATTTCTGAAAAATGAGGTGTACAAAATGAAACATAATAATGTAGATGAACTGAAAAGTTATATTGAAACTATAATTAATATAATTGATGGACGAATGGTGTTGAAAGCAACACGTTGTGTCAAGAGAAGGGCCCAAATATGTGTTCAACAAGAAGGCGGTGTTTTTGAATATTTACTTGATATTTTATACCTCGTAATTTTTTTGTACAAGTGAAAGAAATAAATATTTCCACATACATCACTTTCAATTTAAGGAAAAAAGGTGATACGAGATTTGTTGTTGAGAATGTTATTACGAATCGAAATACATGATACAATATAGGGTGTTTCATTTAAAAAAATATCACTTCATCATCATCATCATCAGTGATTTTTTTGCTGGTATCTTTTTGGCAAAACTGTTTTTGACAGATCACGCGTGAATCGTGTCTTGTATCATTGTCAAACTTGTTCAGTTTGGTCTATAATTCACCCATGAATCGACTTACGAATACAACGCTTGCAAGTTATTGAATTTTATTATTAAAATTGATGCTCGGTGAAGAAAGTACATCTTGCACTTCTTCCAATTTATGGGCAGTTTCGTCGGCCTACTGAGGGAGCTATTCGAAAGCTTGTGACTAAATTTCGACCTCAGTTTACATTATTGGACATTAAACCACCAACACGCATAATTAGGACCAAAGAAAATATTGCGGCTGTATCCGCCAGTGTTCGTGATGACCGTGAAATGTCGATTCACCACCGTTCGCAGCCTCTGTTACTCCACTACGTGCAAAATTTTGCGAAAGGATTTGGGTGTAAAACCTAATGAGATACAACTAGTGCAAGAATTGAAGCCACACGACCTCCCACAATGTCTAAAATTTGGTTAATGGGCGCTGGCAAAGTTGAAGGGAGATCCACATTTTTATCGAAAAATTGTGTTCAGCGACGAGGCTAATTTCTGGTTGAATGGATACGTTAACAAGCAGATTTGCCGCATCTGGAGTGAAGACCAGCCACAAGCATTGTAAGAGCTACCGATGCATCCCGAAAAAGTCACTGTTTGGTGTGGATTATGGTTGGAACGTTACTGTGAATGGCGAGCGCTACCGTGTGATGATTGACGACTTTTTGTTGCCCAAAATGGATGAATTGGACACGCCTGACATGTGGTTTCAACAAGACGGTGCCACATGCCACACGGCACGCGAAACAATGGCCCAATTAAGAGCCGCCTTCGGTGAACAGTTTATCTCACGTTTGGGGCCCGTCAATTGGCCGCCTAGATAGTCTGATTTAACGCCTATGGATTATTTCTTGTGGGGTCATGTTAGGGCTCATGTCTACAGGGATAAACCAGCAACGAGTGACGGTCTGGAAGCCAATATTGAAGCATTTATAGGTGAAATACCGATGGATATGTTGGAGAGAGTGTGCCAAAATTGGACCTTGCAGATGGACCATCTAAAGCGGAGCCTCGGACAACATTTGCATGAAATCATCTTCAAACATTAAATTATATTGATCGTTCTATCGATTCCAATAAAGATTTCATCAGGTTTTCAATTTTTTTTTGTGTTGTTTTGAAAATCAAATCCTATACCTCTTAAAAAATCACCCGTTATTTTGAAAACGCGACTGTCAATTACGAGTGTGAACCACGGATTTCTAGCCAAGGGTTTGTAGCGACTTATGTTTTCCAGAAACCGAAAAGTCTTTTAAAAAATGATTTTTTATTCATTGAATAGAACTGGCCGATACTTGATGAAAATCCATATTCAAAAAACTAATAAATAGAGTTTATTCTATGATTTTCACTATAAGGGTTTTACAAAAACCGCGACACGTGTTTCGCTATACAATAGCTTCTTCAAGCATAACATCAGTTATGCTTGAAGAAGCATAACTGAAGAAGTAAAACCCTTATAGTGAAAATCATAGAATAAACTCTATTAGTTTTTTGATTTTTTATTCAATACATAAAAATTATAAAAACGATGTTAACAGTACATGTATAAATCAGACTGAATGCATCAGGTCGTTTCTCGAGGCGAAGCTCTCTGGCCTGCTATGCCGATAATTCGCTTTCCTAGGAAGTGTAGCTGAGTGTTAGCAGAATCTGGGGTCAGTGACAACGTAATTCCTCTCTCCGAAGATGGAAAACAGTGTTTCACGAAGAGAAAAATGTTTTCCGCTGCTTTGGTAAGGGTGGATCTGTATTTCCCTCTTGAGGTTCTTCAGGTAGTTGGTGTCGGACTAACAGGTGTACAACAGGTATACAACAAAGATAAAAAAGCATACTATGATAATAGCATATGCTAGAACTGTCGGCCTCTCTGTGGATTTCGTTTAGCTTGTCTAGAGGAACATCTTGGAGTTTTAGGACTGGTATCACCTGGGTTGTTGGGGTTTGAGGAAGCATTATGTCTGGTAGAAGTAGGGGTTGTTCTCGTATTTCTGCTGCTTGATTGACATTTTCGTCCGTGGGGGTTTTGAACTGACATCCCAGAGGTAGGATAATCAAATGTGCTCCCTTGTGAGTGATTATGTCTGTTGTTCTATAAATAGTCTGAATACGAGTGGCATTTTTGAAGATGCCAATATAGTGGGCTTCATCTACTTATTCGATAATATTTGATTCCTGTTGGATTGATTTCAGCCCGCAGTTAAGTGGGTTACAATCGATGCTCAGGATTTGGAAGATACAATCCCTCGTAGTGGATTCCGGCAGGAGGTTGTTCCAAGGGCAGTAGACATCGTGCAGGTCCAGGCAGGTCGTTGTGGAATATTGAAAATACACCTCATCCGTTATCAGATGTATCGAGACGTATTTACTGGGTCTAATCCAAACAACAAATTTTCAAAAGAATAATGTTCTGATAAAAATATTATCATTGTTTCGAGATCTTTTATTTTCAAAACGCTAGGGTGCGTAGTATGTAATTTTGCAAAAGTTATTGCATTTTCTAGATCTGTTGATATTTGAATCAGTAGTTGTGAAATGGCACTTAGTTGATCGAATGCTTTTTTTGCTTCAAGAAAATGATTGAAATCAAAAACAAACGTTGAGAGTTCTGAAGCAATTTTATCATTTCTATTTGCAATAACTTGTTGATTATGTTTCACCGTAGCAGTTGTTCCATTGAAAATTTCAATTATATGTTTTGAGAGTGAACTCTGATCATTTACCCTAGAAATAATGTTGTCCTGGCTGTTTTGCAATTCTATAATGTCTTGGTCATACTTTTCAACGTCTTGAGAATCTAGATTACCACTGATACTCTTAATTATACTGCCTAATGCGTTTATAAGGCCTCGTTTTGATCTCCTGATGGGTGTAAGTATCAAATTTAGCAAATGATAACTGGAGCTGAAAGAATATAGACTGATTGATCGCTTTCAACTCTTGAAAATATGGGTGTGATAGTCTGGTATTGACTGCTTCGAGTAATTTTGAATATTGATTTTGTATAAGGATAAGGTCATCAGCGATAGGAAAAAGGTCAAAGTAACGAATGAAGGTGTGGAAACTACTTTTGACTCGTGCGTTTCCTAATTTAAAGGGTAGGATACTTAGATTTTTATTTAGTGACTGTATTTGAACTTCCTGGTCAGCGATAGGACGAACCTGAAACAATGGTCTTTTGAAACTTGATTTGTGTAAAGTATTTTTAGGTAAATTCAATTTTGTCCTTTGGTTTTTCAAAACCGTTACGGTTTTAAATTCTGGGGCAAAATTGTTACGTGCCTCAGTGCGTTTGTATGCAGGTGTTTTTTTTGTAAGTAAGAGGGGGTTCGCAGTTTGCGTTCCGTTTTTCAATTAGTTTTTGTTTCAATTTGTTGAGTTTTTCATTGAGGTTCCTATAGATATCTGAAGTCTTGTTTTTATGGGCTTCCATGTAGGCGCTTTGTAACGCGATTTTCAATATTGATATTGAAAGGATCTGATGTGGATATATGTCCAGTTATGACATCAATGGGTTTCATTCCCGTTGCGGAATGTATTGAATGGTTATATCCCATGATTGCATAAGGCATTTGTTAGATTATGTCTAGCTCTTTGTGGGTAGTTTGAAGAATTCACAAATGTTCAATGATTGTGGAATGGAATCGTTCAACGATTCCCTTAGATTCAGGATGATCGGGGAAGACATAATGTAATTTTATGTTGTGGGTGTTTGCGAATTCTTGGATAAGGTCATTTTTCAGTTCCGTTATCTGAGC